AGACTTAATTATATATAACATAGATAATTTCTTCATTATCATATTCTCTAAGTTCTTAATTAATAATTCAATATTGAGATTATAATTATTGATGAATATAAATCTGTCAACATATAAAAATTCTATATAAAGTAAAACAAAACATCAGTATCTGCAGTTATATAAAATAATCAGAAAAATATAATCAGATACTGCTGAAGAAAAGAGAGTTAAGAGTGTATAAAAAAATGAAGAAGATATGTTATTTATAATAGTATATTCTGATAATTGTTAAAAGATAAACAAGTTCTGATTATATTTGTATTACACTTACTGCTAATGAACTGCTCAGTATAATCACTACAAGAATACTTGTTATAAGAACAGAGAGTTATTATCAGAAATATATATAATGTAATAGATAAATAACAGATAGAAAATATTGAATGAGAGAAGAGACAGAAATCTTGAATGAGATGATAGTATTCAATAATAATAATAATAAAGAAGATAATTGAAGAATGAGAAAAGTTAGTGAATAAGAGATGTAATATAGTGAAAGTTTCTTTATAAGAGTGTATACAGAACACTAGCTGAATTAAAAATAGATTATATAATTATGAAACACTAGTAATAAGCTAATTCACATCAAGCTAGAATATATAATATGATTATATAAGTGTGACTGAATCTGATGAGAGAGAATGTGATTTGAAAGAATATATAACTGCTGAATAATAATACAGCTGCTTCTGAACTTACTTATAAATGTAAAGAGATCATAGCAGCCACTAATTAATTTAGTGTACAGTATATAAGAAGCCGGCGTACGTCTATAATTATACGCTGACTCAAGCAATCTTTGAATCACAGTGTTTATCTCATACACTAGATTACTATTATATCAGATATAAAGTGATAGAAGTTCTAGATAGTTATAACTATTATCTTAATACACTATCAGAGATTTATAATATATTTTACATAAGCTTACTCTGCTGTGCTATTACTAATCTATTCTCTTCTTAACTTACTTCTAACTGACAGTTATCAGATATCATAGAAGAAGATAATAAGCTTAAGTGAGAGATTGAGAATATTCTCAATAAGAGATCTTATAACTGTAATCAGTAATATTTTATGAAATAAGTCAGCTATAATTAACTGATCTGAACTCTGAGTTTTATATTATTTAAAACAACAGCTCTTGACTGATAAGAACTACTTCTGAAAAGAGAAGATTAATATGATGAACTGTATCTAATTAATTATAAAGATTATTTTACTTTACTTTATAGATTCTTTCACTTCACTCTTAAATATATACACTCTGATTCTCAGTCATTCTTAATCACTGATTCTTAGCTGCTATAAATATATATAGATTCTTCTGCTCTGAAGTCTCACTGCATACATTATTATATATAGACTGACTGTGTAACCGTGTCTGAGACCAGGACTAGATTTTTTAATAGTCTCATTATCAATTCAACTGATCTCATTACATGGTTTTAACATTAGATAGTAGTTTCATACTGTTTTAGTAAAACTTACTGTCTACTCTTATATCACGCCTCTGGCCGCGCCAAGGCCCTGCTGCGGTTTCACACGGCTCATTACTTCCATGCGGATGATTTCATTCATTCTGCAGACTGTCTGAACCGGTTTCCAATCACTCTATAATATCATTCAAATATATCATAGAAAGATCTGATTGATGAATATGAGAACCTCACTTTTATACAAGGTCAGCAGATTACTTTTTCTTAGTAGTGAGATGCTGCTGAGATATCACTCTGACTATTCTCACTCATGAAATGAAAAAAGAGTATTCACTCATTATTTATATAGAATAGCTAGATGCTGACTCTCTATTAAAGAAGTCAGTGATTCATTTTTTCTTCTACTGAAATATATACAAGAGTTACTGTGTGTCTTATATAATCTTCTTAGTATACTAAGTATTATATCTGTGATATTCTCATAATAACTCTGTAGTCTACAAGCTTACTATTCAAGTAAGATAGTTAAGCTCACTTATACAGCTTCTTAAACAACTATCTCTATATAGTATCACTGATAAGTCATCACTTCAGTTCTTTATATTACAATTCAAATCACTTGATCTGATTATACATTTAAATCAGTCAAGCTCTAATAGACTGATATAATCTCATATATCTATACTGAGACTGATCTGATCTCACTCTCTGAGAGAAATACTACATCATTCTCTAGAGTATATACATCTCTATTTTAACAGAAATCTGAGATTTCTGAATCTGCTGCACATTTTAACATGAGCTCTTCAACTGTCTTACTACTGTCACAGTCTCTACACATCTACATTTATTATAAAGATAGAGAGATTAAGATCAGAGATTCTTCAAAATATAAGAGAAACATTTTATCTGAATTTCACAGCTTTATCTATACTCTTAAATGAAAATTTTGTCTTAATCTGAGTTAGTATAATACTTATGAGATATAAGTAATATACACTGTCAACCTTCTTAAAGGCATCTCTGTAACTACTTGAGTCATTAAGAAGAGAGAGCTTGAGTGTATTAATACTGTTATATCTTGAGAAGAATTCAAGAACTTTCTACTGAATCAAATTAAAAATCACTGTAATTACAGCTTCACAGCAGCACAGTAGTTCAACTCATTATATTAATAAAATAATGAGAATTCTTTCAATTTCAATATAAGATTTAAAGAATATTGAGAGAAATTGACTGATGATTTGAATCAATTAAAAACACAGCTTTATCTAATAAAGCTGACTTATAAAATGTGAATAATAATATTATAATATCAGAGTTCATTAATTAATTGCACTGAGCTTGTTAATCTGACTTCTCAGATCTATTTGAATAATCAATTCTCTGAGAAAAGAGTTAATAAGATCTCTTCTAAGTAATTAATAACAGAATCTAAATAATGTTATAACAGCTTCAGTGTGAAGAAAGTAAAGAAGAATTTCAAGTATTCTGATTCTTCACTCACTGTGAAGAAATATTAAAAAAGATTTTACAAAGATCTCTATTTCAACTGTGAAGCTAATAATCACTATATCAGTGATTGTAAGAAGCTGAAGAAGAGAAGAAATTGAGAAGATATCTTCTCAAAGTTAACTTCTCTTCTGGTAAATGTATCTGCAGAAGATAAAGAAGAGAAAAAAATAAAGAATTGATAATTCTCACATCTCTGAGTTTATATTATAATCATAATATATACTCTGAATAAGAAGATATCAGTGAGATATCTACTCAACTTCAGAGTGAATATTAACTTTATATTCTATTTCTTTTCTTTAATAAAGAATTGAAAGAAGATAGATCTGTCAGATCATGTAAAATTTACTGATAAAATAAAATATCACTGTTTTAACATAATTTAAGCAAAGTATATGATCACAGACTCAGAAGAAATCTTCAAGAAAAGTAGTCTACTTCTTCACACAGTTAATATTATAGATGAGAATGTCATTCTAGATCTCTTATAATTAAGAGAAAATAATTCTCTCATTAACTGAGTTATTCAGATATGACAGTATTATCTCACTAATAAAAAGACAGTAATAGAGAAATCTGAAGAGTTTTATCAGAAGAATCTTGAGAAAAAGATTAAGTTAATATACTGTATAGCAGGTGATTGAGACTTGAGAATAGATGAAAAAGTTATTATTCTCACTACTAGATTAGCAGTAGTATCTATCATTGAAGATGAATATATACAATATCTTTTTACAGATTTTAAGAATGTCTTTTCAGAAAGAAAAGTAGTGAAGTTTTCTGATATTAAGATATAATATAAGATTTATCTTAAAGACAGTGTAATAGTACTGTACAGATCTCTTTACAACTTATCTATAAAGAAATTGAATATTCTGTGTAAATATCTTAAAGAAGTGCAATTAAAAAACTGAATATATTTATTAAAAAGTCTGACAGAGATGTCTATACTCTTTATACTTAAGAAGAATAATAGACTATATCTATACATAGATGTAACATGATGAAGCTGAAGCAATAACTAGTTAACAGTATTACATAGAGATAGTTGTTTAAAAAGCTGTATAAGTGAGCTTGACTATTTTACTTAAATAGTGAGCTCATAGACTACAGAGTTATTATAAGAATATCACAGATATAATACTTAGTATACTAAGAAGATTATATAAGATATACAGTAACTCTTGTATATATTTCAGTAGAAGAAAAACAAATCACTGACTTCTTTAATAAGAAGTCAGTATCTAGTTATTCTATATAAATAATAAGTGAATACTTTTCTTTCATTTCATGAGTAAGAATAGCTGAAGTGATATCTTAGCAGTATTTTATTATTAAGAAAGAGTAATCTGCTGATCTTATATAGAAGTAGAGTTTTTATATTTATTAATTAAATCTTTCTATAATATATTTAAATAATGTTATAGAGTTATTGAAAACTGATTCAGATAGAATGAAATCATTTATATAAAAGTAATAAGCTATGTAAAACTGCAGTAAGATCTTAGTATAATTAAAAGTATAATAATATTCTTCTCTTTAAGAGTATAGTCTCTATACTTTTAAGATTACTGAATTAAAAATTATCTTTATTATATAGTAACAGTTACTAACTGATTAACAGTATATATACTATATATAATATAAAGAAATAGATGAGTTTTTCTATTAACTGTATAAATCTTTCTTTTCTTATCTTTATTCAAATTAAATATATAATAAGTGAGTTTCTTATATATTAATTTAAAATGTGAAAAATATAATTAATAAGTGATTTATAGATCTTTCAATATATTCTATTCTATATATAAAATTCTCTGTAAAAGTGATGTATTTTAGAAATAAAGTTAACAGTAGTGATAGAATTTTTTTAAAAAGATTCTCTCTCTTTATAATACATTTTTCTCTCTCTCTCTCATCTGTAATAGTGAGTGCATGAGAGCATCATTCTTGAGAGATAATAAGGGACTTATTCTGACATTTTCTAGTGAGTAATAAACATCTTCATGATGTGGCTGCGGCCTCTGTGACTGTCAAGAAAGCCAGATTGAAGGCAGAGGCAGTGATGTCAATGAGCTGTGAAAGCATCACTTTCATTGCCACATCTCCTTCTTCTCCTGCATCTCTTGCGGCTGCGGCAGTAGTAGTCATATCTTGCAGTGAGATGTCATCTCTTCTGCCGGCTGGTTCATCTGCATCTGATTCATTCTCTGTCCTCTTCACCGCCATTGCAACGCTGCCCTCCCTCTCAGTCAATACAGTGACATATGACCCTGTGTGATCATTCAGAGAGGAACTCAGAAAGAGCTTGATTTCAGAGACAGTGACTCTGAGAAGCTCAATCTGTAGTTTCTCTCTCACAGTATGCTTAAGCTCTGCTTGAGATACTACTGAGTTGAGTTCACAGAATTCTGTAGTTTCTTTATCTTCTTTCTGTGAGAAGGCTCTAATACAGTCTCTGACTGATATCACTACTTATCTATACTGTGCTAAGCAGCTGAAGAAGAAAGAGATTTTATATACTTACTTCTTCTCTCACTTCTATTATTTCTGTTATATCTGTAATAATAACTTCTATCTCTCTGTAAGTATTATCTACTCTATAAGAAGATATTATATCAGCTTTGATAAGAAGCTTAGATGCTTAAGTAGTACAGAGTAAGAGTCTCAGAGCTTTAAGTATTAATAGATTTTATCAAGACTGAGAAGATTCTTCTTACTCATCTATAAAAGAAGATAAAAGTATAAATTTTTAAGATGAAAAAATATCTTAGAATAACTGAGTCTAAGAAGAGATTAGTTAATACTGCTGTTAAAAGTACTATAGAGATTAATCACTAATTAAAGAGAATCTTACTTTAATTAAAATAGATAACTAAGATACTTTATAAGTTAATAAATTGATATTTTTATACATTTCTTATACTCTTTTATAATACTGTAGTACTAACTTCTCAGTAGATAAAGATATCAGTACTGAAGACTTTAACAGTAAAGAATGAGTTTAGTAAGAATATAATTATTAATAAGTAGACTCTGATTCTTCTTTTTACTTTTTTAGTAAGTTATAACTCTATTAGAATAGTAGTAATCTGTGAATTAATAATATTAATCTTTTTATTAATTCTCAATATTTCTTTTCTCTAACTGCTTTAGAAATTTTATACTTATATAATTTTATTAAACTTCTAAAAAACTCTTTAAAAGAAAATAGAAGAAGAGTATTACAGAGTTTATAAGATACTAACTTATTACTATAAAATTATCTTAAAAAAAACTCTTTAAGAAAAAATAAGAAGTCTTAAATAGTATTTCTTACTTAATATCTCTAATATATAATAGAATAGTCTCTATTAACTATCTTATAGCTTATAATCTCTTTCTCAGTATTTTTCAAATATTTAAGCAGTTCTTATAAATTCTTTAATAATAAATAATCTTCTTATTTAATAAGATATTAAAGCTTACTATAATATATTCATTTATTTAATATTTTCTTTATAAGATATTCAGTATTACTCTCAATCTTAATATTATCTGATCAAGACAGCTCTATCTTAAGACATTATTTATAAAGTTTTAAATAGAAAATATAAAAAATAGAATAAATTGATTTCAATTCTATAAGTAATTTTAACTTATATATCTACTTATCTATTACTCTTATTATTAGAAAAGATTCTAGTTACTACTTATTAAGCTTTTTATATAATCTTATTATCTTAATATTCTTTACTGAAAGTAGTACTTAATTCTCTATTAAGAACTTTATTAGAAGATGTTTTTAATTATAGTATTTTATCTATTATTTCTAAGTATAGTAGATACTTTTCACTGTCTTCTTATAAATTTTATTTAAAAGTTTCAATCTTGCTTTTACTTTTAATACTGAGAAATACTCTATTCTCTGTATTTATTTAATATTCTGACTATCTATCTCTCTTTTTAAAATATTATCTGTGATGTTACTGAGTAATAAAGAATTATATTTATAATAAGTATAGAAAGAAAATACTTTTAAGATTATATTCTTTATATTATTATATATAAATTCAGTGATTAGAAGATGTTTAAGTTAATTATTCTAATAATATAAATAGAATATTTAAAGATACTATTCTAGTATCTGATTTTAATATTCAGTCTGATTATCAGTCTGTGAATAAAATATAATACTAAGAAGATATCTTATTATAAGATAATAATAAAAAGCTGATTAGTATTTACTGATGAAGAGAGATTCTTGATCTATTATTAATAATTTCAGAGTATTATAATTATAAATAATAATATCTAAAAACAGATCAGTCAATTCAGAGACTTTAATCTTTTTATAAGTAAAGATATATCTAATCATCTTTATAAAGTAGTTAATAATGATTATAATTAAATTATATTCTTTAACTCTTATTAACTTTAGTAGATTAACTATGAAATTCATTGATAGATTCTATTATAAGCTCTTTAAAATAGATAGTGATATTAACTTACTATATTATTTATACTATAGAATCTTTATTCTTTAATAGATATTATAAGTTTTAATATACTCTTTAATATCTATCTAAAGCTTATCTTAAATATATTTATATTTTAGAAGCTTCTCAGTCTTCTCTAATCTGAAATGCTCTGTATAAGAATTATTATAATGAATTCTTAATAACTTCTGATACACTGCTCTGTTATAAGAAATAAAGACTGAATTATTCAGTAGTAAAAGTTTATATTCTTCTAGTTATCAGTGACTTGATTTCTTAGCAGTATTATTTTACTCAGAGTCTATCTCTTTTAAGTTTAAACTGAATTCTTTCTTTTTTAACTTCTGAATTTAAGCTGTAGTAGAGATGTCTCTCTTCTATAACTTATTAATAAATTTCAAAAGTAGTTGAGTTGAAAGATTATAGACTATTTTATTCTTTATCAATTCAATAATTATAAAATATAATATAAGAAGCTTATAATCTTCAGTGTTAATTCTCTGCAGAGACTTAGATTTTCTTTTATCTTCTATACTAAGTTATACAGCTGTCTCTTTAGTACTGTTTCTAAGCTTTAAAGAATTTTAACTCTCTGCAGTCAGCTTCTTCTGCAGTGATAACAGAGATTCTTTTATAGAATTCTTCTTCATATTAATAATATTATAATTGAGCTGTTTAGACAGTGTATTAATGAAATTAAGCTGATCTGAATAATATCAGATATAGAAATTATACTCTAAAAGCAGCTTCACTTATCTGACTTGATATTCTATCAAGCTCTTTGTTATCAAGAAGTAATGTAGATTTATATAATTAGTGAGAACTTGTACTGAGTACTTACTACTCTGAAGATAATATTATCAGATCTTAAAGAATTTAATAATTATTAATATTTTCTAATTATAAGTATTATATCTTCTCTATATAAGTAATAACTTCTTAAAGAAGAAAGTCACTAATCTTTATTTACAGTGTTTTATAAACTCTGTGAAAAAGTCTTCTTTTATAGATAATTTATTATCTGTTTTCTCAGAGATAATTATTCTCTAATTCTTTTAATAGTAAAAGATCTCTGATATTAACTGTGAAAAGATTTCACAGATCTCATTCTCAGATATATCAGTCTCACACTAACTGAGTAAGTCAGAGTTAAAGTGATTCAGTATTATAATATCTGTGAAAGCTTATTTCAATTTCACAAATATCTGCACAGTGTCTTAAGTGAGAGTAAATAGTTTCATTTTATTATCTTTCACACTTCTCTTTAACAGATCTGTAAGAGAAGCAGTAATTCATAAATATATATAGATAAATTATCTGTAGAAATTTACAAATTCTAGAAATATCTATATCTTATAATACATCTGCAGCACTGATCAGTTCTTAATAACAGAGACCTGACTTCTATTCATTGAAATGCTGTTCATCTTAATAATATAATCTAAGAAATCAATCTTCTGTATGTAGAATGAGTATTTTTCAGTGTTTATATAAAGTTAATACTGTCTTAAGTAACTTAATACTTCTTGAACATGAATATTATGTTCTTTCTCTATTTTTAAGAAGATTAGAATATTATCTAAGTATACTATACAGAAGATGTTGACAAGGTCTCACAGTATCTTATTTATATAGATCTGAAAGATGACTGAAGTATTATAAAAATCAAAAGATAAAACAAGATATTTAAAATTACTGTACTTAATATGAAAAGCTATTTTTCAAACATTGTCTTTATTAACTCTGATTCTATGATAGATATCTTATATATCAATCTTTGAAAACATCTTTACTTCAGATAATTGATTAATCATCTTATTAATTAATAATAATAAATAGTGATTCTTAACTATTATCTTATTAAGGTCTCTGTAGTCTATATATAGATATAGTCTATCATTCTTCTTAAATATAAAGAGTATAGACATCTCTGCTGAACTCTTTAATAAATATATTCAGTTCTTTGATTGCACTTCTTCAAGATATTTGTATAGAACATTCAATTTCTTTATAGATAAGTTGTAAAGAGATCTGTACAGTACTATTACACTATCTTCAAGATAAATCTTATATTATATCTTAATATCAGAAAACTTCACTACTTTTCTTTCTGAAAAGATATTCTTAAAATCTGTAAAGAGATGTTGTATACATTCATCTTCAATAATGAATACTGCTATTAATCTTGTAGTAAGAGTGATGACTTCTTCATCTGTTCTTAAGTCTCAATTATCTACTATACAGTATATTGACTCAATCTTTTGCTCAAGATTCTTCTGATGAAACTCTTCAGATTTCTCTATTACTATCTCTTCATCAGTGAGACAGTACTGTCACACTTGAGTAACTCAGTCAATAAGAGAATTGTTTTCTCTCAATTATAAGAGATTTAGAATGACATTCTCATCTATAATATTAACTATGTGAAAAAGCAGACTGCTCTTCTTAAAGATTTCTTCTAAGTCTGTGATTACACACTTTGCTTGAATTATATTAAAATAATGATATTTTATTTCATCAGTAAATTTTGTATAATCTGACAGATCTATCTTCTTTTAACTCTTCATTAAAGAAAAGAAATAGAATATGAAGTTAATATCTACTCTGAAGTTAAGTAGATATCTCACTGATATCTTCTCATTCAGAGTATGTATTATGATTGTAATATGAACTTAGAGATATAAGAATTATTAATTCTTCATTTCTTTCTCTTCTTTATCTTTCATAATACATTTATCAGAAGAGAAGTTA